ACCCTCAATATATCATGAAGCTGCTGTACATAGGTTTTCTCTGTCTCTATTAACTCATTTAGCACATGTCTATAAATAGAATAAAACAAGTTGTGAAAAATGGGGAAAAAAAGCCTTTGAAACATCCAGGGCTTAGAGCAAAACTGGTCCATCTTTTATATAGAAATAGAGGCAGATAGATCAGTTTCACTCTAAACCCTCAACATTCTAAGCAGAATTTTTAAAAGGATACAAAAATAACTGAGAAATGTCAGATGAAAAGACCCAATTATGGAGAATAACGTTGCACCTTAGTACAGTCGATCTATTTGTGTAACAATACTACACCATCTTTCTAGAATGATAGTAAGACCACAAATTATCACATAACGATGCTTGTTTTTAATATTTTCATCTTTAATTTTCTTTCTATTACACACGTTAAATATAATTACAAACCAACAAATGGGGACTTTCCTGCTGACTGGCTTCATAATATGGTGTAATAGTTCAAGACTAAAATACTTTATTAATTATTCAACATTTACATCTAAAGATTTAGTATATTACATACTGTCTTTTTTCTTGTAAACTCTCCAGCATTTGTTCGGAGAAAGAACTTGACCCAGAGGTTGTTGTAGAGGTTGATGCAAGAGAATTACGTGCCCCGTCCGTGCTGTCAACCGTGGACATGCTACTACACGTACTTGTTGATCCATAATGTGTGGTACGAGGCTGTGGTTGGGGAGGTCCAATGTCTACCCGAGAGTGTGGCTGGGGTGGTCCTACATCAACACGTATCTGTAACAAAAACTTACAATTTTAAAAACATAATACAAAAACAAGAGCCCTTGGAAGGTCCAGATACTTGACTTTCTTCAATGCTTGATCAGGAAAAAACTCAGGCAAGAATCATAATTCTGTCAAAATACATGTCAGAGTTACGGGTCTTGGATATTGCATGCAGTTATGATCCCATGTGTTAAATTTAGTCATCATTTCAAAAATAATCTCTATTTGTTTAATTAAGGTTAATAAAGGAATTGTTTCTCTTTTTCATATCGAAGTGCCTGTGCTATGACACAGTTCAAAATTGATATTAGTAACTTATTATTGTAAAAATAATAGTGTCAAATGAAAATTTTGCACAAATTCTAACTTTCACAAAGAAATGCGTAATTTACCCTTGCAGATTTTTCCACAGAAGGAACTGCAGGTGCCCCTTTTTTAGTAGTATCTTTACTATCTTTCCTGTGTCGATCTCTGTGACCTCCTTTCTTCCTCAGGTCATACTCTGGTACCGTTGTTTGACCTCTAGAGGAGGAAGTGACTAGATCAGGCTGCGCTGGATGATGTACAGGTTGGGCTCGAGCCTGTGTCTGAAGGTCAGCTTTCCTCTTACTACACATTGATTGAACATCTTCTATCTTTTTCAAAGTCTTCTGGACTGTTGCCTATAATTTCAAATAACCTTCATTTATTTGATTTACTTATGAATTTTTACTTATTATTTTTTATTTTTTTATTTATTACTTATTATTTATTTGTATTTTTTTTTTTTTTTTTTTTTTTTTTGGGGGGGGGGGGGGGGATTGTTAAAGTCAATTCTCGCAACTTTCTATATTCATTGACAGACATGCTTAAGAAATAGTTGGAGCAGAAGTAAAATATTCCACTTTTAAATGCTTTTTCTGTCTACAAGAAGTACATCGTAACAAAAATATAGATTTTGTACAGTACAAAAAGAACCCATACTTTTTAAAGATAAAATCATGCCATCCTATAAATACACAGTTTGGCAGGATAAATATTAAAATGCCATATCATCTGAAATCCCACATGAAATCATCTATATATTATAGAGATATGACATCTGAGCAAACATCTGAATAATTTATACATTATAATGTCATTATCCTTTTAAACTGATTAATTCTGACTACAGCCTATTTCATGATATTCACTGTTAAGTTAATATTTTAATATAGCTCAACTTTACCCCAAGATACAGTTAACAAAATAAACATTATCATGAATTGCAGACTTACTGGTATTGGTTAATATATGAAAATATAAAATTAATGTCACTAATAGTAAAAGGTAACTGAGAAGTTAAATATTTCTTTTGAAGCTCAAATTTGCACTTTTAAGGACAATTGAAATCACTTAAGATTTTCAAATGCTCAAAAATGGTGTTCATAGATTGGAATAATCTACTCTCTCCAATGGTCATGACTACCTCATTCATATATTAAACATGACTTTTATAATAGTATGGAACTGAAACAAGAGCAGCCGATGAAGCAGTGCTTGACTAATTGACTTGCTTGCCTCTTAAGACAAGCTAAATTTATATGGCATGGCTGAGTGGTTAACACATTGGACTAGTAATCTAATAATTATTAGCTACATGGATTCAAAAACCTATAAGGGGCAAATCATTATTTCTTTGAGCATGAAACTTTAAATTCATTGCTCAGTACTTGTTGGTTCCAGGAACAGATTCAAAAGTGTTGCTATAAGCTTATTACTTCCTAAACAATCAAACAAAAAATAAAGTCTGTGTAAAGCAAGAGGAGAAATTTAGAAATGATCAACAATAAGAGTTATGGACCTTGAACAGTGATCTACAATAATGATCCTTGAGATTTAAGAGTCTACAGTTAATAATTTAAATGAAATGAATATACACTCAAAACCTCATGACTGTCATGCCAATACAAGTATCTTCATTGACACTGGAGTGAGAAGAATAAATGATAAATGTGTTTGCTCTACTACAATCAAACAATTCATTACAGAAAACGTTTGATCAAATTACTGAGGATTACATGATAAAGTACTGAGCTTGTACATGTAATTTAAACCTGTAGATAAACATTCTCCCACTGCTTTTTTACATAAATTTTGAAAATAACATAATAAACATAATAATTATGTACTGAGTACTCTTCCTACAAAACTAGAATGGATTACAAACACTTTATTTACCCTTGTATCCGATGTGATAACACTGTCAAACAGTTGTCTGAATTCTTTAGGATTGTTTAATTTAAGATCCTTGGATGTGACAACAAATTTATCTATATCTTCAATAGCTTGACGAATACTCTCTGGGGTGTTACAATTCTCTAACTGGCTTGTTAGCATGTCCATTCCATTAGAACACCACTTATTAGCCTGAAATTAAAGAAACAACATTTATATAGAAATTAAACATATTATTCACAAGCAGAATACTCTTAAAAACTTGAAAGGATAAAAATTACTATTACAACACCACTTAAAGGCTTAAATAGGTCATTTTTTTGGTTGGGTTTTAAGTTGCCACACAGTATAGGTCATATGGCAACTTTACTGGTGGAGGAATACCCAAGGTGCCCTTTCAAATTGCATTATTTCAGGCACGAACAGTGCACCATGTGGAACCACCAACATGCTGTAAGTTAGCTGGATAGATTTGAACAAATCAAAAGGCCCTATTGGGATTCCAACACAAAGCAGTGAACCATTTGGCCACAGACACACCTTAATAGGTTAATCATAAAAAGAACACCTTTTTGAGGCTTGAAATAGGTTAAATATAAATGGAACATCTTTTATATGCTTAAATTGGGTAAATTTCAAATAAACTCCCTCCAAATGGCTCGAAATAGGCAGGTCAATTACAAGAAAAACATTAAAATTAAATTATAGGCTTAAATATGTAAATTAATTTATTATAAATAGAACACATATGTTTAAAATATGTACATCAATTACATAGAGAACACACCTAATAAAGGCTTATAATATGTCAACTTTAAACATATAACCACTACTTAAAGTCTTAAAACATGTAATTGTCTGATAAAACACTATTTGTAAGACTGTAATATATAATCTTTAACTTGTAAAAAAACTGAACACCTCTGACATTAAATTTTATTAGCTTTAAATTGAAAATTTTCCCATGGAAAATCTATTTTTCTCAAAACAAGATATTTTGCTCAAAAACACCTTAAATCTACAATGAATTATAACTTTTCAAATTTACTTAGTAAAACTTTTAAAACACTCGAGTGTGATCAAATTATTTTTTTACACAATCCAAATGTTAATGTGGTCTTGCATAATTCAACAAGATAGCAACATCAAGTTTTGGAGAAAACCTATCATTTCAATAATCAATAAGTACCGGTAAGTCTTTTATAGATCTTTAAATAGAAAAAGGTAGTCCACTTATTAAGAAATCATATATTTTGTATTGGATGTTAAGAGATGATGCATAATATTTCAAGGAAGAATTTAAGATTTTAATGAAACAAGAAAGTCACATGTCTAAATTAATGAAAATAATAACAGATCTTTTTTACATTTTCAAATCTAATAAATGAAGGACAGATTTTGTCTATTTCATTATAACTTATATTGAAAACAGCTGAGGCAAATTTTACAGGTTTTGAAAACCTTAAAACCAGATCTGACATACAGATCATAAAAACAGATTATATTTTTTTTTTGCATGTTTTTATCTTAAATTTTGCATATTTAATGTCAAAATTATAATCACACACACTCAGATGTTACATATTTCTCAATAATTTTAACAGTATCAAAATGTTCTGCTTTTATAATTTCACCAACCTTTTATCATTACAGTTTGTCATACAATATGTAACAACCAGAACCAACACATGTATGAGTCACATTAAGTTTTATCATAAATTAATTTCAATAAAAAACCAAAATATTACATCTCATCATTTTGACATTATAACATGATGCAACAAAAGAATAACAGTTTGCACACAAGAAGTCATCACAACAGATCAGTGTACTATAGTCAATAGGGAATTGCAAAGTTTGCATATTAAATTATATTCAGGTGCTTAGTTTTACAATTTATAATCTTCAAATACTCTTTTACTATGAAGTATACCAAATAGAACATAAGTTACACTGACTCAGTTCTCATATTCTATACTTTTATGCTTGGAAAATGGTTCATACTTTTATGTTTGGAAAACAGTTAATACTTTTATGTTTGGAAAACAGTCAATACTTTTATGTTTGGAAAACAGTTTATACTTTTATGTTAGGAAACATTTAATACTTTTATGTTTGGAAAGCGGTTAACATTTTTATATTATTTAAATAATTATACACTGATCCCTGGTGAAAGCCTAGTTTTCATAACTGCTGTAAGTCTTGCCCCAATATATGTAAGACATGATGGTTAATGCCGATTTCCTTTAAATATTTTATGTAAACTTTTTGGTATTTGGTGTTCAAATCCCATATCAACAAATTGTATAATGAATCTCTGAAATTAAAACAAACCTTTTCAATTCTCTCGTGCAGATCATGTGACTTGTTCAATATCTCTCTGCGGCGTCTCAGAAGTTGCCGATATTGTTCGCACATTCTCTGTAACTCTATACATTTTGGTCGTATACTATCTACAGCGTAATGGTCATCCATGATATACTGATCGCCGTCTGCTCGCATTTTATCTCCTTGTTCTATCTCTTGCTGTAATGAGAAAATAATAAAATACTTATATACAGTTAAAAAAATAAATCTAATTACGCATATTTATTTCACATTATTTAAATAAACCCTCACCATGCTAAAAATTTTAAATATTTTAAATATTTCAACCATTCAATATAGATAATACAACGGCTTTAAGGGAAATTTTCAAAAACTTAACATACACAGGAACCGACAGTGAATCAAAGGCATGGAGCCCGGCATGCATGCACAACCATGTGGTATGACCAGGTAGCAAAATTTTTTTAATTTGTTACAGAAATACCTTGTAAATTGAATGGACCATTCACAATTCAAGGCAGGGCAAAAACCATCAGAAAACCAAAAACCATCAAACAAATATGTCAGGTTAAGTCATTAAGAGATTTGAGATAGTGTAAAAAGTAATTCTAGAAAAAAAATAATATACAGAATAATTTATATAATATTAAGACTTTACTTTATATATAGTATGTATTTTTTTTTTTCTAGAATTCCTTTTTACACTATCCCAACACTGTGTCGAGTCCCTGTGGTATGTCCCATCATATTCAGCTTCATCAAATATTGACCAATCATAAATATTGGCATCTAAGACTTGTGAATTCTTATCACATTAGCATCAGTCTTAAAGAACAGTGTACTTTACCTCAAATTCTTGTATCAATTATCCAAAACAAGGTTTTCACTAAATAACAGTCCTCCCATAGTAAAAAAAAATAAATTTCAAGTCGTATAAATGGCGACTTAATGCCATTATGACTTTATCCCTTGTGTGAAATGTCATACAACAAAGGTATGATATATATTATACTTTATCTATATAGTATAGCCTTTATTTAACCTTATTATAATTATATATCAATCTAAATCGGTCTTTAATTACATTAGTCACTTATCAAAATCCAATCAGTATTATAATACAATTATGATTCATTTTAATCAGAGTGACAGATATTATAATATGTTTATAGCTTTTGAGACCTTTTGAAAAGAGCTGGTCTCCAGGTGTAACAAAGATGATAACATTAAAAATATAGGTTATATTTTAAGCGAGTCATTGAGTGAATTGAATTAAAACAAAAATACTGACACAGTCACAGGCCTTGCTTTCTGGTTGAGTTTTTTTTTTCAAATTAGCCAAATTTGTATGATTTTCTGCTTTCATTAATAAGAAATTATGTCAAGATGGGATAAAATGGACAAGAAATTCTGTAGCTAGCTATTTAAAATTAAAATTTCTGTAGCCAAATTAATAAAATTTTAGCAAATAGGTAAAATGGCAGAGTGACCCTTGGACAGAAAATACTACATGATGTCAGAAAATCATCTTGGACTCATCTGTTAAGTATATAACTCTAATAGTGAACTTATATATTGTATGAAGTATAATTAGTTTAAGTCTATAACATTTATACTAGTTTAAAGTATCAGACCTTAACATAATACCAGCATCTGTCTTTAGATATGACCAGTTTTAACTTCAGTATGCATTAGACTGGTAACCAGACCTGATTTTAATGGTTACCACTTAAATTTCTTCTGATTGCACTGGGAACCACTCAAATTTCTAGTGGTGGATTTGCATCAGTTTGGTAACCAATGAAATTTCTAGTGATTGTACTAGCATCAGTCTGGAAACCACTCAAACTTCTAGTGATTGTGTACTAGCATCAGTCTGGAAACCACTCAAATTTCTAGTGATTGTGTACTAGCATCAGTATGGGAACCACTCAAAATTCTAGTGATTGTGTACTAGCATCAGTATGGGAACAACTCAAACTTCTAGTGTTTATACTAGCATCAGTATGGGAACCACTGAAATTTCTAGTGATTATACTAGCATCAGTATGGAAACCACTGAAATTTCTAGTGATTGTGTACTAGCATCAGTATGGGAACCACTGAAATTTCTAGTGATTATACTAGCATCAGTCTGGGAACCACTCAAATTTCTAGTGATTGTGTACTAGCATCAGTCTGGAAACCACTCAAATTTCTAGTGATTGTGTACTAGCATCAGTATGGGAACCACTGAAATTTCTAGTGATTATACTAGCATCAGTATGGGAACCACTCAAACTTCTAGTGTTTATACTAGCATCAGTCTGGAAACCACTCAAATTTCTAGTGATTGTGTACTAGCATCAGTATGGGAACCACTGAAATTTCTAGTGATTATACTAGCATCAGTATGGAAACCACTCAAATTTCTAGTGATTGTGTACTAGCATCAGTCTGGAAACCACTCAAATTTCTAGTGATTGTGTACTAGCATCAGTCTGGAAACCACTCAAATTTCTAGTGATTGTGTACTAGCATCAGTATGGGAACCACTGAAATTTCTAGTGATTGTGTACTAGCATCAGTCTGGAAACCACTCAAATTTCTAGTGATTGTGTACTAGCATCAGTCTGGAAACCACTCAAATTTCTAGTGATTGTGTACTAGCATCAGTCTGGAAACCACTCAAATTTCTAGTGATTGTGTACTAGCATCAGTCTGGAAACCACTCAAATTTCTAGTGATTGTGTACCAGCATCAGTCTGGTAACCACTCAAATTTCTAGTGATTGTGTACCAGCATCAGTCTGGTAACCACTCAAATTTCTAGTGATTGTGTACTAGCATCAGTCTGGAAACCACTCAAATTTCTAGTGATTGTGTACTAGCATCAGTCTGGAAACTGTGATTATACTAGCATCAGTGTGGGAACCACTCAATTTTCTAGAGATAGTGCAATTGCATCAGTCTGGGAACAACTTAAATAGCACTGAATATTAGGGTAAACAACTGCAAATATAAATATTTAAACAAGAGGTAGTTGTCATAATTGTAATTTAAATATTTCAAAAGCCCTTTATCATAAAGTCAGAACAAAAAACCATTTGATATGGTGACACATTTATTAGATGATAAATGAAATGTTCATTATAATCGGATAATTTTATGCAAGATAAATTTAGAAACTGCCATAGTCCCCACGATTGTCTTAAATATTTACATCCCTGTGCATGAATCAAAGGCTTAGATATGAAATGAAAAATGAAAATATGATGATCAATTGAATGTGCATTTACCAAACAAAATGAGCATTCCATCTGCGTAATTACAGGGTGCCACCAAAATGGTTTACCCATTTATTCTGGTTGTTTATCTACAAATGATGTAACCTTTTCATTTTGATTATCGGTAATCAAATGGTCAGTGACATAAAAACCAGGGCAATAATGTAGACTAGTGATTCAGAAACTAATGACTAACATAAAACGTTACAAAGCACAAATATGTAAACATTTTTGTCTCATCTTTCATTAATGACTTCATAAAACACATTAAGTTACAAAGTAAATTTAGGTCTTCCATTCATTTTTCGGGTGAAGGGTGAATTATATTTCTGATATCATATCATGTCTTCCTTCACACCAATGCAAGTGAAATCAATACTTGTAAATAAACATATTATAAAAATTTTAAACTTAACATCACCTAAAAGAGCATCATATATAATCTACCTCAAAGATTCTAACTTCTAACTCAACTCCCTATATTTGGACAAAAGTGAGATAAATAACTCATGATCATAATATTCACATTGTCTCAGCTCAAACATTATCACAAGTGTCACAGGGTGAGAAAAATGTGCAGCCTGACCAGACCTTGCAATACCGTACCACGGCTCTACCCACTGAGCTATCTGGGCGCTTACACATCTTCTCCCCTAAATAGTGAACAGTTCTGAACCATGACACAAGGATAGATAGATGGTAATACGTAACTTTAAGGTCACTGACTAATGTTTATCTTTATAGAAGAACAACAACAGTAACTAATGACTGGAGCTGCAGGCATTAAGAAGGACACAACATAACAAATGACCACCATAATACACATTATAACCCTGAAAACTGCTGGTGGCAAAGACTTGCATTTGTCACCAGTAAACACAAGTACAATCTCAACACAGACTTGGAAAAATTACTTTTATTTTTCCCTTATATTTTATATAAAATGCACAAAGTCGATTCCAAATCATTAAGAATTAACCCAACAACACAAGTACCCATTATCAGCTCAACTTTACAAATACAGTGGGAAGAAGCATTCATATTGACTTTCAGGTGCTCAGAGTTATGCTAAAATGGCAGTTTTAAATTTCATTGCAGAATATATTATATAATCCCTTTTCCTGATGGAACTGAAAGTTATTAGCCTTTACCACCGTTATAGAAAGCCAGGCCTGCCTGCACATCTGTACAGTCTAAGATCTAAGAGGCTCTTAACCTACTTGAAATTTTTGTCTTGGTGTTCCAAAAATTGATAATGGATAGTTTCAACGATAGAAAATTTGGACAAAATAGAGAGAAATAAAGAATCCCTAAAGAACGCACAAAACAACAAAATTTTAAATGTTGCAGGCCTGGTTTGTCATGGGCGGTAATGGAAAATGCAAGTTACTGTCCATGACCCCTAGCACAGACTTCAGCAGTATTCAACATTTAATGATGGTAATGGTGAAATTTCGAATTTAGAAACATCCGCAGACAAGTCCTTTTAAGAATTTCAGCAGGGTCCAGTTAAAGAGACCCGACAGATACATGTACAGATAGATGCATTTTTAAGAAGATACAGTTTGAAACTTGATTCATTATTCATTACTGGTACATATAAAAGACTTGCCACTTCACAAAAGTTTAAATTGATTACTTCTTAATTCATTGTTATGCTGTTGTTTTTCCTTTCTTTCATTTTCTGTTTCCATTTGATTTCATTGCGAAATACTATACATTTTTTCTTAATTTCTATTTGTCAACATTAATAAAAGATATATCATATATTGTTGTTGTTTTTTCTCATTTTCCATTTATCAACATTTCTAAATAATATGATAAATTGATAATTAAATGCTTTTCTTTGAAGACACTCACTCAACAGTTAACATATTTTTGTTTAATGGAAAGAGAAGACAGCAATATTGTGAACAGTACTTTATATACAAGA